CAAAAACTATTCCAAAGTTTTTATTTAGAAGTCGCGCTAATAAATTTTGAATAAAGATCGGCCGAGTTTTTTTTTTCTTAATTAACTGCTAACAAAAATTTTCAATGAAACTTATTATTTTGATAGATATCATAAATCGAAAAAACATACTAAATGTTTACGGCCTTACGACAAGTAGTTTAATTTTAATAATTCATCCGAGTTTAGAAAACTGATGTACTTAGTCAAAACTTGTGTGAGAAGTTGCTTTTGTCTTCTGACATACGAGTATCAATAACAACTAGGACTTTGGTCGCAACATTTGCTGATCATACGTGCATTCTAGCCAGCCACAACGATTCCAGCTCTTCATCTGGAATGGTTACTCCAAAACCATTTAAATTTAAATTAATCTTTTAGATTAATCTATTAGAGAAATGGAACAAAACCTAAAGATTTGAAATGTATGATTTGAAATCAGTAAATGTGACATTTACGCTTAGAAGAGAGACCTTGCCCACCAGTGAAAATAAGAAACACTCAAGTATCTCAGAAGACCATGCGAAATATCTCGGCATATACCTCGATACAAAACTTCATTGGCGAATTCACATAAAAAACGAGGCAACAGCTCTAGATAAAAATCAGAAAGCTTTACTGGTTATTAGGGACTGAACTCAAACTAAGCTCATACCATTAGCTGCTTTTATATAAAACATCATTCAAGCCAATTTGGTGCTATGGAATACAATTATGGGGTAGTGCGTATAATACTAATATAGAAATTAGTACAAAAATTTCAAAACAAATTTCAGAAAATTTCTTTGGAAGCACCAAAATAAGTCCCGAACTGTCTGAATCATCTCGACACGAATACACCTACCATAAAAGATGTAATAACAAAAACAGCGCAAAAATATAGAGACAAGCTCAAAAGTTACCCAAATTCTCTAGGTCTTTAATAACAGAAAACTATCGTCGTAGATTGAAGAGAAAAACGCCAATTGATTTAAGCCATCAATTTTTCTGATGAAAATTGAAGTAACTTATTATTTATAAGAAAATAGTTAAGTTCATATTATTATCATTAAAATATTGTTTTTATTTATAACGAATAGAAAAACATCTATTGAGTTGTTTATACTTAACTGTAATATGCAAAGTCCCTATTTTACGGCTTAAAATTGTAAATTTCACAAATTTACTAAATGTCCTACTTAACTCAACAGTTGTAAATATGGCAGTGAATAAAAAAGTTGCTTTTTTTTTTTATATATATTTTTATTGGCCTCTGGTAAACATTTAGCCACATACATAATGTACAATATACAGGTAACATATATAGTGTATTGGTCACTTACAACTTAATTTTACTATTATTAACAAACCTAATTATGTTAGGATAACAGTTCAGATTTTGCAATAATGATGTCAAATTAAAGGGTTTAATCAGTGTTTTTATAGAGTGTAGTTCCTCTAACAATTTAGCCCTGCTTGCCTCAAATATACTACATTCTAGTATGATGTGTTCAGATGTTCCGCTTGATGCTCCACAAGGACATGATTCTGACTCTATTATTCCCAGCCTCTTCAGGTGTGCAGGGAAGTTGCCATGGTTAAGCCTTAGTCTTGTTATTGTTACGATGGTACCTCTGTTTTCATCTGCATATTTTCGGAACCACGGTTTCATCTTCAATTTGGGGTTGACTGCCTTGTAGTATCGTCCCTTTGTTTCCGACGATCTGTTCCATTGCTCTTGTCCAGTATTTTTTTCTTTGAATTATTTATATAGTCTTTCCTAGTGGCTAGGTTGATCATAGTTCCGTATTCTGTTGCCCATTTTGCTATTGAGTCCGCTTCATCGTTTCCACTAGAACCGGAGTGCGATCTCGTCCATAATAATTTGACTGTATACCCGTTCTCCAATAGCTGTATAAGTCTATTCCATACTTCATATACTAATGTTTCGCTTAGTCGATTAGTAAGGAATAGATTTTCCAGTTTATCTATGCAGCTTTTGCTATCGGTAACGATGACCACTTTAGTGATTTTGTGGCTTTCTATATATTCAATTGCTTTTTTTATAGCTATTAGCTCGGCTGACCAAATTGAAACGAAGTCTGGTAGTTTATATCCTATTTTGATATTCTCGTTTTCATAAAATAAAGCGCAGCCAGTTTTGTTATTAATTTTTGATCCGTCTGTAAATATAACTTTATAATCCTCTATGTTGATTGTATTCGTATTGAATATTTTTTCTATCGTATAGCTGTTGTCTAATGTGAAAAAGTTATAATACGGGTGTTTATTGTATTTATTTGTGTCTCCTCTTGTTTCAATTACTTTTATATAGCTATATACCAAGCTTGGTTTTGGACGATTTCTCCAATAGTCACTTGTTAATGTATCTATGGCTACATTCTTGATATTTTCGATTGTTCTATTATTTTGTACTTGGTATTTTTTAAGTACAAATTTATCACTTAAATATTGGAATCTTGAATGTAAAGGCATTTCTCCACATTCCACCAACAAGGCGTTTGTAGGTGTGGAGATCATTGCCCCTATGCACAGTCTCAAACATTTATATTGAATTTTTTCTAGCTTCCTGCAGTGAGAAGAGTTACTGAAAGCTAGGCTTCCATACTCCCATGATGGTCTAATTATTGTTTTATATAAATTCAGGGCTGTGGTAGGGTGAGCTCCCCACCATGTCCTATTTACCATACGTAAAATGTTGATTTTTGGCTCAATTTTTGTGATTACTTGATTTATATGTGTTTTGAAAAATAGTTTTTTGTCAAATGTGACGCCCAAAAATTTATTATTTTCTTGTATTTTGATTGTATGGTATTTAGTCGTTAGTGCTGTTCTTTCTTCTAGCTTCCTGCGTCTTGTAAAGATTCCGATTGAGCTTTTTTCGTCCGACAATTCAAGTCCTTTCTTTGCGAGCCATTCGTGGAAGAGATCTATGTTACGGCTCATCACCTCATAGGCTTCCTGGAGGCTTGATTTTTCTATATATATTACGACGTCATCTGCAAATTGTAATATTTTGGTACCTGTTTCCCATATTTTTTCTATGTCTCTTACGTAAATTGAGTATAAGATGGGGCTAAGAATTTCACCCTGTGGTAGGCCTTTGTAGATTTTTCTCGGCCCTATCAGTTTCCCATTTATTCGGAAAAATATCTTTCTTTCTCGGATGTTGGTCGTAATTGAGTTTATGAATTTTCCTGGTAGTCCAGTGTTAGCCAAAGTATCTTCCAGCACATCTGGTAGGACGTTATCGTACGCACCTTTAATATCGCTAAATAGCGCAACGACATAGTTGTTTTTTGCCATTGATAGATATAGATCTGATATAAAGATCGTTAGGTTGTCATATGTTCCCATGCCCTTTCTAAATCCACATTGGGATTTGGGAAGTATGTCATACTTTTCTACCCACCATTCTAATCTTCTCTTGATCATTCTATCTTTGACTTTTGCAATGCAGGAAGCCAAAGATATGGGTCTATACGATGAAACTAAATTTGGGTGTTTATTCATTTTTCTGATAAGTATTATTACTTGTTGCCCCCAATCTTCTATTGCTTCTGGATTGAGCCACACTTTATTAATTATATCTACTAGTATACTTTTGGCTTGTGGTGTCAAATTTGCAATCATTGAATATGATATGCCGTCTTTTCCAGGAGCTGTGTTGTTGCTCCTCTTGATAGCTATTTCCAGTTCCCACAATGAGAATGGTTCCATCAGATTGTTTGTTTCTCTTTCCAGGACAGTTTTATTTCCATTGCTTAAGTCATTTTTGGCTCCCGGTGGTGATAGATAGTCGATGATTTCCTCACTAATTTCTTCAGGGATATTACTATATGTGTCGGTCCCATTCGTGTGTTTCTTGAGACGTCTAATCATTCCAAATACTTCTTTGACTGAAGTATTTGGATTCATTTTATTGACGTATTCCTTCCAACTGTCTTTTTTCTTCTTCCTGAAAATGTTTTTGATTTTCTTGTTTATATTCTCACACGTTAAATAGTTTTTATAGTTGGATTCCTGTCTATAAGCTTTTTCGCCCTCTCTCCGTTCCTTTATTAGCTGATTGCATTCGTCATCCCACCACACTGGTTTAATGAACCTAGTATTTATCAATTTTTTCCTTTTTGGAATGCTTTTTTCTGCCGCTGAGTTAATTATCCGTATAAAATCTGTGTACGCTTTCACGGGGTCACTTACACAAAATCCATTTAGTTCATCTTCTAGATGTATTTGATACTTTTCCCAGTCTGCTTTATTGAGGTTCCATCCAAGATCGTTATTTTGGGGTTGTGGAACTTCTTTTTGTTTCAGAGTTAGAATTATGGGGTAATGATCTGAGCCCAGAGACTCATCGATTACACTCCAATCTATTTTGTGCGCTATGTCCTGAGAGCAAAATGATATATCAACTGCTGTAAAATTGTTTTTAGATCTCAAAGTTGGATTTCCATCATTGAGTATAAATAAGTCATTGGACTCTACGGATTCTAGTAAATTAATTCCCATTCTGCTATTCCATTTACCTCCCCATGCATAATGGTGGGCGTTAAAATCACCGCACAAAATAAATGGGCTTTGGAACTGTGACAATATATGATTCCATTGACTTACTGAGATATTGCTGTTTGGTGCAACATAAATGGATATAATGGTCAATTTGATGTTACAGAACATAAGTATTATTCTTTTGATTTGGCACTTGCTTACATCTATTGTGCCTATATTAATGTTCTCTGTATTGAGTACCGTGATATCATCCTTGACTATTATAGCCGTACCTCCATATCCATCATTTCTATCGTTGCGGAAGATCTTGTAACCTCTGAAAGTGCAGTTGTTACCACCTTTTAACCATGTTTCTGAGAAGGCCGCTTTTTGAATCTTTTTCTCGTATAGAAAATGTTCAATGCAGTCTTTGTTGGCAAACACTGATCTACAATTGTATTGCAATATTTTCAATTCCTGTGTCATTCTTGTCATTTCGGATTTGTTAGGTTTATCTGATCTCTTTCCATCCGATTAATTATGGCCATTAGCACTTGATTATTTTTTTGGTTGGTAGGGTTAAAAACATCCTTTAGTCTTTTGATTATGTGGTTCAGAGATATTTGCTCTGATGTGCTTGGATTTGGTTGTATTCCTCTTTTCTGTATATTCGTCGTTCTCACATCCTTCTCTTTCGTTTTATCTCTGTTGTCCTCTTTTGTCATTTTCGTATTTACGTTTTCATTTTTTTTAAATGGTATTTTATTTATATTAGGTGACGCTTTTCGTGCATCGTTTTCTGTTTTATTGTTATTATTAGAGTTTTTAATGCTGTTGTCTATGGCTGGTGTCTCAACGCTAGTATTGTGTAGTCTCCGTTTCTTGGGCTGATTCACTTCCGTATTTTCTGGTTCTTTATCTCTTGTGCGTTGTTGGTGATCTTGAATATCGGGAAAAACTTTTTTGTTTTGTAAGTCTAGTCTAGTTGTAATTATATTTGCGTAGGGGCGGTTCTCTAAAATCCTTTTTGCTTCATTATAACTTGCATTATTAAATTCCATTATTTCCTTTAATTTAATTTGTTTTTTGTAGACTTCGCAATTTTTGTTAATTGCCTGATGTCCATTGCCACATAATGCACATTTGGGCTCTTCCTCCCTGTTATCGCACTCCTTGTAGTTGTGGTTACCCGAACAATGTCCGCACCTGACACTACTTCGGCACTGTGTGGTCACGTGACCATAACGTAAACAGTTATAACATTGAATTATTTTGTTGTATTGACTCACCCGACACTTCACCGCATGTATTGTTACTTTCTCAGGTAACCTTTGGCCTCTGAAAGTTAGAACGCATACGGGCGTTTTTACATAATCGTTGTTTTGTTTTTTAAGAATTCGTTTAACTTCTAATATTTCCACTTCAGATTTTATATGTTTCAAAATATGTTCTTCTGATAGCTCGGTGTCTACGTCGTATATTACTCCCTTTTTTATTACAGTGGATAGTGGTATATATGCCCTTGCGCCAATCTCTGAGAATATATGGTCCGCTACCAACTTGTTTGTGAATTTGTAGTCATAACATTCAATTTTGATTTTGTTAATTCCGATAGCTTTAATTTCCTTTATATATTTGTCCATCTCTGGGTGCTTGTTAAATATCTTTCTTCCTAATGCCATGTGGTGTAGTTTGCCTATGTTTTTGTTCATCGATTCCACATAAATTAAAAATGGTCCTATGTCTTTTTCTGTGTATGACACTGTTTTAAATACTTTAGTATTTCTCGATTGATTATTTTTTTCATATGTATTCTCATTAATCTTATCGTTGGTTTTTAAATTTTCATTAATATTAATTACCTCATTATTATTAATAGTTTCTTGGGAAGGTTTGTCCCCTGTGAGATTTTCACTAGCACTGTTTTTCCCTCGAGTCGTTTCTAGATTTGTTATTGTTTTCATTTCGTTGTTTGCTACAACGTCACTTTCTTGCACTGAATTGATTGTTCCTTTAGGTGTAACATCACTATTTAATTTATTTAAATTAGCGTTTGATTCAGTTTCCATATCTTCTCCATAACATATACGCAATGCGTTTCCTATGCACGGACCTAATTGTATTTGTTCACGGTCATCGTCGGGACCCTCTCCGTAGGGTCCGCTATCCATGATGTCACTATTTCAACTACCTGCTGCGGATTACTCACTATTCAACACTGAGGTCTTTATCGTTCGAACGCTCGTTGCTGACTGATGAAAAAAAAAAAAAAAAAAAAAAAGTTGCTTTTGTGATGTGATGAGTTAAACATTGTCAATTCTTTCAAATTTTGAATAATAAGTTTGAATAATAAGTTACAATTTCGGGATATACAAGCACGTGTCTGTGCAATGTAATTAATATAATTACAGATAATTTAAATGTGTTTGAGAAAATTCAATTGGAAATCGCAATGTTTAGATTTAATTGAAAGCGAAAACTTCATTTTCGAAATAAACAGTTGAAAGTTTTATCTAAATATTTAAATCTCAATTTTCTTAGGCATCGCTCTTAAACATTGTCATTTTAGCTCATAGGAATCTTTATGTATTTTTGATTGCTAAATAAAACGAGTTAAAAAAAAAATTGTTTTGTTTGATTAAATCAATTATTACATTAAGCCTAAATGCCACTTTCAACTAGATAAATTTGCAATTCAGTTTCTCTAATCATGATGAAATACATATTGTAAAAGATTATTGAAAATAGACAACTCGCTGGATTTTTAACACATTGACTGCGGGTGTCGACAAAGTGTGGTTAATTTTTCAAAGAATCTACAATAGATTTTTGTCAAACGCAAGCATGTGGTGGTGGACTTCTAATCTATAGGTCAAGGGATAAATTTCCACGGAGTATGGTTGACAATACAGAATTGTTTCGAGTAGTCATTTACCACTTAATTTAGCATAGTTTGCCAGTGTACTGTTCATTTATTAAAGAAACCATAACAAACTTTGGTATTGCTGTTTGTATAATCCTTTTGACGAGGAGGAGGAGGATGTTTAGGCAGACTGTATTATTCGAGTACAGTATTTTGTTCAAGTTTATGCAATGCCACATGCAGCTAGTTATATTTATTTATATCATGCTTTCTTATATTCGGGTAAAATATAAAAAAATATATTGGATATTAAACATAGTTTTACTTATTATTTTTTACATGTATTACAATTATGTGTAATTTTTTTTCATAGTCTTAATTATCACAATGACTTCATTCCAGTCCAATACTTTGCTTCAATCTCTGTAAAATTCAGTTTTTTAAATAAGTTATGGGAGTTTACGTTTCCAGGTACAACACATCCTATTGTATCTTGTCCTAATTTAGCTTTCAACTTAGCCATGCTCTTCAATGTTAACTCACCATATCCTAAATGTAAAAACGACACTTTTTCATATTGTTATTATTATAAATTTCTTGAATTTATGTGTGCTTGCTAAATTCAAATGAAAAACTTATGCGTATTTTTTTTATAAATACATCATTACCTTTTCGTAAATGGTCTGGAGATGTCTGAAGTGCTAATAAAACACCATTTGTGTGGCTACAGAAAAAAATTTATTGAGCTCGTGTGTTAAACTTACTTATAAGTTTGCTAATTATGTAGTACATACCTTAGTATCCATGATCTGAGATCATTCTTTTCTTTGCCATATAAACCTCGAGTTGGATTTATTGCAATCATCAATTTTATGTAAGCCTCTGATTCAGGAGTCCCATGTGGCCACAAACTATTTATTATAAAAGAATCTTTATCCTCTAAATTTCGAAACTCACAATCACTGGGTGGTCTAAAATATACAAAAAAGTATGTATAAACTATAAATATAATATGAGTAAAATAGAATTTAATTGAAGCTAAGTTAATATTAATAGTAATAATAGTGTAAACATGTTTTATATATTGCAATATATAGTATATATTCTATTATTGTCTAGGTTTACTTACTCATCGTCTAATAGCAATGCCTTCTCTCGGCTCATCCAATACATAGTAGAAGCTCCATCGCTAACATATCCATCATTTGTTCTTAAATGTAATTTTGCTTTTACTTTTTCTAAAACATCTCGATGTGCAACATCGAAAGGATGTAGTAGTATTCCCTCAGACCAGTCCAATAATAATAATGCATCATAAAGTCTTTCACAAGATTCTTGCAAAGTGTAAATAGTTACATTAGATTCGTCCTGCATAATTAAAAAAGTGTTAATTGATTAGTTATATTTTAATAATTATGGTTCTGAAATTTTAAAATAACCTTGAGTATAAATGTTCCATCTGACCAATCATTGTCTAAGCAGAATATTTTAGTATCGGGTTTATGAGTCGTTTTCAAGCGTTCATAGTTTTCAATAGCGATGAAAGGCAGAATATGCCTTGGCCAATTATTTTTAAAAAGCGCGCGTAATTTTTTCCATTCACCTAGCGGCACTTCTACTAAACTCCGTTTGGCGGCCATCTTCACACCTGTTGAACAATGTCAAAATCGGATTTTAACCTAACCTGCAAATACATATATTATGAATATTATGAATCATGAATTAGTTTTCTGTGAATTATTATTATTTTGCACTCAAATTGTTATTAGCACATAATATTTTGATGTTTAGTTTGAATTCGAAAGAAAGTGTGTTATGTTACAATCTATATGTTCACTATCGGCTTGCCATAAATCAAACTTCCTAATATTTGTAAAATGTAAAATAATAGATTTCATATAAATCAGACTTTGATTAATACTTACTATTCACTCAGTGCACTTTTTGTTTTAAATTGAACTTCAACAATAATTTTAATATGATGATAATTTAGTGGAACTACCATAATCAAGAAGACTTTCATATATCGTACATTGCTGGCTGATTCAACACAATATTAAACCGGCGTTAATTTCAGTACATTCGGGATTTATGGTAAATCTAAAATATAATTTATTGCTGCGAATTCTATTAATGTTTTTTTAAATTTTAAATACTTAAAACAAAGCTATGGCTTTATTTTGGTTTCAAAATTTATACTGAAATTTTGAAAGCTGTACATTCTTATATAAAGTGCATAGCGTATTCACATTTATTAAAATCCTATTAGTGATATAACTTATATTTAATTATTTATTAACTAAATACATTTCTTATTTCAACTTGTAACTTTTTATTATTTAATTAATGAACGCCTGTATAATATTTAATCATATGATAAGTTATCAAAGTTAATTCATTCTGTCATATTGGTTTGTCCGTTTGTTTGATTAAATCTATTATAAAAGTGATTCTGCACGTGCTCTATTTTTATAAAGTTTGCAGATTTTATCTCAAATCATTAAATTTCAAACAAGAAATATGTTTATCAGTTAGTTCATATCTAACTGAATTTGTTTAGAGTTTTATTATTAATTCATTTGAATATAGAAAAATAATAATGTTTATGGATGTGTATGCTTTTGCCAGAAAATCCGACTTGCCAGAAAAACAGACGCCTATTTTATTTTTTCGACGTTTCAAATCATTCTGATGTGTTCCACACTTAATTTTTCTAAAAATGAATTTCACTAAATTTTGATCGTTCGTCGCCGCTTTTTTTTCAAAAAAATGATTGTACCGATTTTAAAAATTTAAAGAAAGATGAAACACGATAAATACGTATTTATCGTATACGTTAATTAGTTTTTCGCGATGGTCGGCTCAGTGTCTTTACAATGAGCAAAGATGCAACTTTTTTCGTCCATTCTGAACTGATTTTTGGTAAAGATCGGCCGGGCCGTTTTTTCGTAATTAATTGTTAAACAGTGTTTGGTGATTTTGATAAAACTTCTTATGATGATAGATAGATATCATTGTTTTAAAAAACATACTAAATTACTTTGAGCCTGTTCAATTTTAAACAAACTGTCCACGTTTTCGCAAAAAATCTTGAACCGATATTGGATATCTATAGAAGTATATAATTGTGCTGATTGGTTTTTAGCAACGAGTGGCCTTTATAATTAAATCTTAAAAACCAAAATGCCTTTTTTATTAACTTAACTTACGATAGAGTTCGTGGTCTAATTCTAAACGAGCATCCTGATTTATTTTTTTAGTTCTACAAAAAAGCACATACAAGCACGTATTTGTATATCTTGATTAATACAATTGCAGATATTTTGAGTTGTTCGGCAGAAATCAATTGAGAATCGCATTAATTATTTTCTAGTGAATGGAGAATTAAACAGTTCAAAATTTTATTTAGATAACTAAATCTCAATTCTTATTCATTAAGTCGTTTATTTCGACTCTTATTAGAAGACTAGCAAACCCGACGAACTCCGTTTCGCCACCAGATGGTTTTATGAAAAAGATGAATAATTTTTTTGTTCGTTTTATATTTAAAAAGGAAAAAAAAATGATTTTATTACACACAGTAATGAATTTATTTAGATTACAAAAATGAAGTGATTTTTTAGTTGAACTTCTCTAAGTAAATGAAAGTGAATCCGCAAATTATCCGTTTCATTGAAATGCTCTTTGGTAAACCACATTTTTTGTTTTTTGGTCTGACGTTAACACAAACAAAGCGGATGATTTCCCAACTCGTGAACAGACAACGTATAACAGCCCATGTGAAAAACAATGATTTTCTAAATAATTTATTTGAAATTTATCCCGCAAACACTAAGCGATTGGCCTTGCGACTTGTTAATTCTCATTGCGAACGTAAGGCGAACTGGAAATTGCAATCGTTTGAAGTCAAACCGAGGACCAGTCGGAATCATTGGTATGTCACCAAATCGCCAGCAATTTTTATTGAATGGTGAAATTCAGTGCGTGTACATCATTATTCTTTGCGGCAATAATTGCTCGTTGACTTAACCAAGCATAATTCTGATAATTCTCACTAATGTCGTTACTCGAATTTTTAATTACGGTGCGTGAAGTTCCAGCGATTTGCATTAAGGAAAACCTTGTGGAGCCCGAGACCTTTCCAAGGAATGCAAAATGGTCGAAATCGGTTCGTGCGTTCTGGAGTTATATCGTCAGGAAGGAAAACCCGATTTTTTTATATATAGATGTAGACGATGCAACTTAAGGCAAAATGCCACATACAATTTGTTAACTTATTTGAATTAATTAATGATATATTTTTATACCAGATTATTTATATTCATTTTAAATAGCAAAAGTTCTAGTCTGGTAGACTATTATGTATGTATTAGTATTGTATGATTCTGAAATAAACACTCTATTAATTAAAAAAACAAATTTTTATACATATTGTTAACATTAAATATGGGTATCAGATTTATAATTAAACTAATTAGTTTATTAGTTTAAACATACTAGTGTCTACAATTAAAAAAGCATATTTTCTAAGTTTTAGATTTTTATTATTGCTAACTATTAAAATTACATATAATTATTATTAATATTCCAATGATTGCGACCAAAATCATTTTAAAATAACCTCCAGCGCCTTTGGCGCATTTAATTGTTATTTATTCGTCTGGTTTAATCCAAAACGTATCTTGTATAACTTGGAAATTTAACTTTTTGAATAAATTATGGGATCGATCGTTATTAGGCAATACGCACCCAACTGTATCTTGACCCATTTGGGCTTTTAGTTTGGCCATGCTTTTCAAGACAATTTCAGCATATCCTGCAACATTCTCATTTTGAAATATATATATATATATATATATATATTTGTGTGTGTTAAACATAGAAAGATATAAATAAATTTTCGAAGGGCAGCAACTAAAAAATGAGGTTGTTAAAATTTTAAAACATCCTTATCATTCCATATGCATCGACGTAAAAATTTCTACGCCACCATCAGTGATTATGAAATCTTTAAAATCAAATATAATGTAATTTCGATTTAAATATTATTAATACTGGTATTATCGTTTTTAAGATAAATGTCATAATATCTAACAATCGTCAACATATAATTGAACCAACAATTAAATTTGTTGCAAAAAGTATTTTGGCGATTTCATGCAAGACTCTGATTAAATCTATTTATTAAACTATGAAAGACAAACACGAATAAATAAATTACCTTACATTACCTTTTCTAAGGTGGTCTGGTGATGTTTGCAAAGCTAATAGTATACCATGAGAGTGACTAAAAATTAAATGTATATTGTATGTTAATGTATATTAATAAATAAAAATGCTACTTTTATGTAATATTTGTACTATTTTGATACTTTACCACAAAACCCATGATCTAAGTTTACCATCATGTTTTCCATAAAGACCGCGTGACGGATTATTTGCAATCATTTTCTTAATATATTCTTCTGGATGACTTTGATTTTGAGGCCACCATTTGTATACGGTTGGTGAATCGATATCTTCAAGATTTCGAATTTCACAATCCGGAGGAGGCCTACGTTAGTAAAATTTAATCTATTTATTATTAACTTTTTGAAGGAGAAGTTTATGTTTTTGTCAATTTTTTGCTAATTTTATGTTTTCTCAACGTTTCAAGCCATTTTGATTCAAGTGAGACCAAATTTAGAAAAAGTATGTGCATGTAATTGTGTGCCATAGTTGCCCCATTTGTGTGTGATGAATTATTATTACAATTTCAGGAGTGCGACAATACTGAATCAAGGCTGTTTTCACTTGGAAACATAATGTTATCTATAATTTAAAATAAAAACAATACTGCTTGAAAACAGACTACACGAAGCAGTATTGAACCCGGGACCTCTGATTCAGGTCGAGTCGTTCTACCCACTTACGCGCGGGCCCACTATTATAAATAATCAAAAATAATTAATTAATTAATAATATTAAGCAACACATTCAAAGTACAACAATATAGCCAAAACGAAATTTAAGTTCACCTGTCATCAAACTCCAAGGCATCTTTCTGGTCCAACCAATACATAATAACGTGTTTATGTGCTGGAAAGCCTTTTCCTGTTACGATATTCAGTTCTTTTCGCACCTTTTCGAAAACTTCGTGGTGTGCAACAAAATGCATTTTTAAGTTTTTTATTACAGTCCATCTGAACGATTTTAGTAGTTTGTATAGCCGATCACTTGACGAATCCAAAGTGTAAATGCTGATGTTGTTGTCATCCTGAATGTTCAAGTAAAATTTTCATAAAAAAAATTCATTTATAGTAAAAATGATTCGATGTAATAATGTGTTATAAATAAAAAATATAGTTTATATGCATAACAGATTTTAGATCGTAGTATGCTCCATTCTTTGACTGACATGAATTGAACTTTGTAGGCCAAGTCAGTAATATATCACTTCACTCAATAAGCCCGTAGGAAAACTAAGAAAAACCTATTTTTTTGGCAAAATTCTTTTTATTCAATGCAAACTATTCCTTCGAGAACTATATACCGATTATAGAGAACTTCAAACTTTTTGAAACCATTTTTGTAGTAGGATTTGTACTTAGCCACAAAATTCGGCCATCATCTTATCATTTTGGCAAGCATTTCTTTAGAGCGAGCATCTTTTTGAGGTCTCAAAACAGGATATAGTCGCTGGGGAACAGATCTAGATAATATAATGAGTGGGAAAGCAATTCCGAGCCTAATTCAAGCCACTGTTTTCACGGAATTGTGACTTGGAGCATTGTCCTGATGGAGCAGCACGGTTTTCTTTTTTAAATGGGCCGTTTTTCCGATTTCTGGCCTTTTTCCAGGTAGTTGATGCAGATCATTTCTTCCATATCCTAAAAAACTGACGCTATAACCTTGCCAGCAGATTAATTGCATTTTTTCTGGTCATCGTCGCTCTAGTTCACTCGGCTAAGTGCCTATTGGACTCCAGAGTGTAGTGTTGAAGCCATGTCATATCGATGGTGACATGTTGATGAAAAAACTCAGTTTTATTTCGATTAAGGGGCACAACTAGTGTAACCGCCTAAAAAAAGGTGATTTTTGGGAATT